GGTGCTCGATGGTTGAAAAAAATGCATTATCGGCAGGTGCCTCACCAGCTTCGTCGTCTGAAGTGTCGCTGTCGGTGGGATTTTCCGGTCCCGGGGTAGCCTTGGCAGTGGCTCCCTCGGTGCGTGCGATTTTTGCCGTGCGAGCGCGTTGCGCCGTCTCCCTTTTTTCCTTTGCGCTTTTAGCGGAAATTGAAGTCGCGTTTGGTGTAGCGATGGCTTCCGTAACGGCGGGGGCTTGCTGCTGTAACAGGGACAGCAGCTGCTGCAGTTGGGCCGAGGTGAAGACGGGCGAAGCCAAAGGCGCCTCAGGGGCCTGAGGCGCGTCAGGGGCCTGAGGCGCGTCAGGGGCTACATGCGCCTGAGGCCTCGCGTCAGACGCGTGTGCCTGCTTGTGGCGCTGACGCTGACGGGGGGTGCCAGTCGCGCTGGCCGGCGTTGACTTGGCACCCTCAGTGGTGGCCGGCGCCTCAGGCCCCTCAGGGGCCACTTGCGTTCGAGGCCCCCCAGGGGCGTGTGTCCCAGCGAGGTCGGCCTCGCGCAACAGTTTTTCGACGGCGGTCGGGGTCGACTCCTCGTTGTCTGCCTGGCGCTTTTTACGACGTTCGCCCGCGGGATCGCGGGTAAAATTTCCGTCGTCGGGGCAAATTGGGGCATTGGCGTTGTCACCGTTATCGCCGTTAAGTGCCATTGTAGCCGCGTTGTGGGTGAAAATGTCTGAAAGGAGTGTCGACGGTGACTGAAAGTCAGGTAGTGATTTCAACTTCGCCAGCTTGGAATTGGGAAGTCGAAACTTGACTAAACCGTTTGAAAAATGAGAGACGTGGGTGGAGGGAAATGACCTCCAGCCCACGTTTTGTACTCCAAAACGGGCGTTTAGCGCGGTTCGCCGATGACCATTGCTACATTACAAGCCGCTTCGCTTTCAAAATACACGATTTTGAAAAGCGTTACAGCTTTTAAAAATATTCATATTTATCAATTTATGGATTGGTCCTGCTGGTCGGCGAGGGTGTCAGGGTAGAGTGAGCAGAGGACGTTAGAGGTGCTGATGCGCTTGAAGTTATACACGCCCTTGTCTGAATTGCCTGTCATTGGTTGTGCAGGCGCGATGGGCCTAAGAAGAGGGGAGAGAGGTGGGAGAGAGTGGAGTGCAAGGGATGCTGTCGCGCACACCTTCGTTTAAATCCCACGTGCATGATGATGGCGCGTACAGGCGCGATGCACCTGGCAGGAGGGGAGGAAGGGAAAGCGGGAGGAGAGTGTAGGGGATGGGATTGAAGTTTAAAGCACGGCCTTGTCTGACCGTGGTAGTACCACATGCCTGTCGTAGAGGCATATACATGTGTCATGAGCCTAGGAGGGCGGAGGGGTGCGCAGGAGGAGAGTGCGATGAAGTGAAGGGTGGAGAAACAGGGTGAGTGGTGGGGTAAATGCTGGAGAGAACCAACTCGCATGTTATAGCATGCACCTTTCATAGGCCACGTGGCACCCACTTGTTATGTGCCACGTAGTAGGCGTCCTGGATGAGGACCATACAGACGAAGTCGTCAGGCTGCTGCAGCAGGAACACCCCCGGCATGAGTGAAAACTACCTCACATCCCACTTGCCCCTCTGCCCTTCCATTCATGCCAAGGGAGGAGAGAGGCAGGGGGGAGACGGGGCGCAGGGAGCGGCGAAGAGAGAGGGTTTGAGAGCAAGACCCCTAGGGGCGGTGTCAGCTCAATAGTAATACCCCCAGCGGTCTCCTTCGGCGGAGGGGGCGCGGGCGGCGGAAGGGGCGCGGGCGGCGGAGGGGGCGCGGGCCACGGAGGGCAGGGCCTGTGGTAGGATTTCGGGCATCCTGAGCCCTCAGGGCAACTTTTGAAATTTCTCAGGAATGCCCTGATTTTTCGGGGCAAATGTTTATGGCCATCTTGAAATTTCAAGTCACCAAGAGGAGTTCATCTTGATCTCTCAGAGCAAAAAAATCACAAGACATGAAAGAGGTGGAGGGGAAGGCACGATATGACTGGGAAGCCCGGTGCATGCATTAAAAGGTACGATGAGGAAGCGGCGAAATCCTCGGGAGGAGACCAAACCAGTACACACACACCCCCGCCCCTTCCCCCCTCTCCCCCATCCCCCCTCCACACCCCTTCCCCTTCTGCATACGCATCAGGGCAGTCCTCTACCCTCGTCTTGATACTTCAGCGCAAAATCTCATGGCCTTCCTGAAATTTCAAGGCTCAACACAAAAAAATCATGAAGTGAGAAGGTAAAATATACCATCATCGTGAAATTGCAGGGAAAACATGTGACACTATCCTGAAATCAGGGTAATCAGGATGTTTTGCACTGATATCGGACAGAGGGGGCGCGGGCGGCGGAGGGGGCGCGGGCGGCGGAGGGGGCGCGGGCCGCGGAGGGGGCGCGGGCCGGGGCTGTCGAGAAGAAAAAAGCCCCGCCCTCGCTTGGGCGAAGTCGGCCATGTTTTTTGGAGCACAACAGTATTCGTTTCGTGGTCACGGACAACTTCAGAGACTTTTACCTTTATACGACGAGTCGATTTTCGACGAGATTAAGTCGTCGAAATTGATGTTTTGTTTCCGTTGTACGCAACTGCCTGTAGACAGGGCACTTGTCGAGGGGAGCAAATCGACGTCAAAATCGAGCCTTGTGGGTCGATAGAATTGGAGAAAACGGCGTTTCGACGAAACGCTCGTCGACAGATGTCAGCTCGAAAGAGGCATCGTCGAGCCGAGCGGTTTTGGTCGACCAAAATTACTTGTATTCGAAATTCGCAATATGCGCGAATTTCGACCAACCGCGAAACAACAGATTTTGACCAATAAGATCATTTCGGAAATTGTACCCCACGGGAGATTTCGAATCAGTATGGAAACTGAACTTGAAGCACGTTTTAATTAATAGTAAAACGACACAACTCTGAAAGTTTTAAACTTGAGAAACTACCAACTCATGAGAATGGCATATGTGCTTGTTGATTCACAAGGCATTGCTGACTCGCAAAGGTCAAGCGTTTGCCAAGGAACGTTTCTCCAAGGTCATTGTGCTCGCTATTTTGGATCTCTTTTTTTGTACCATAATCTTGTCCTATCAACTTTTCATTGTGACGACATGCTAACAACTCTGTCAAGAATCACTGCTAGAACTCTGATTGTGCGTCCCACGCAATTCAGCTCTCTCGTAGACCATGCGGTGAGCGTGGAACGGCCCCGTATTAGAACCTTCAGATTATGTATATTTTTAAAAGCTGTAACGCTTTTCAAAATTATGTATTTTGAAAGCGAAGCCGCTTGTAATGTGGGAATGGGCAGCGTCGAACCGCGCTAATCGCTCGTTTTGGAGTACAAAACGTGGGCTGGAGGTCATTTCCCTCCACTCACGTCTCTCATTTTCAAATGGTTTAGCCAATTTTTAGTTCTCAAATTTCCGTTCTCAATCTTCCCGTTCTCAATTTTCGCCTCCCGCACCCAAGCTGGCGAAGCTGAAGTCCCTTCCTCGCTTTCAATCCCCGTCAACATTACTCTCAGATATTGTCGCGCACAACGCAGCAAATATGACACTTAACGGCGGAGAGGCTAACACCGCTACCGCCCCTGCTCGATCCGAGTCTGGAAGAAACGCACGCGAAATGGCGGGCGATCGCCCGAACAAGCACCGGGCAGACGACGGGCAAGTTTCCCCGACCGGCGTCAATGTTCTGCTGGGCGGGACCGAGGCACACGCCGCTGGCGTCGAGGCACACGCCCCTGGTGTGCCTCGAGCCCCTGTGGCCCCTGACGCGCCGGCCACGACGGAAAGCGCCAAGACGGCGCCAACCAGCACGGCTGGCACCCCGCGGCCGCGTCAGCGTCGCAGGCCTCATGGCCCTGACGCGCTTGTGGGGCCTCACGCGCAAGTGGCGACCGGCGCGCAAGTAGCGCCGAATTTTACTGCAGCCCAACAGCACTGCTGACCTTGTTACAGCAGCAGGCCCCTGCTGTTACTGAAGAAATCGCTACTCCGAACGCAACTTCTGTTTCTGCTAAAACCGAAAAGGCGAAAACGGAGTCCGTGAAGCGCGCTCGCACGACAAAAACCGGAAGGGGCGAAGACACACGCGCCGCTGCCGCCCCAGTCATGAACAACCCCACCGACAGCGACAACGAAGACGAAGACAATGGTGAGGCACATGCTCAAAATGCCGCTTTTGCACCCGTTGAACAACTCCCTCCACTCCCTTCTCCCAACCCCACGCTCACCGCCGCCTCGTTCAAGAACGCTGCCGTGCGCGAGCAAGCCGAGGTCCTGGAACACCTGCGGGCATACCTGAAGCATGCAGAGCACAAGGTGCGACACAACGAGCCGGCGAGCGCCCTCGAAAACCTTGGCGAAGCGTTCACACTCATCGAGAGCCGCTTCAAGTTACTCCACGTCGCCGACTACACCAATTTCCGCAGCGCCAACCGGTTCAAGCCCTACGAAGACAAGATCGTCTTCACTTCACGCCCGTTCAAGCAGGCCGTCGCGGACGTGGCGGCCATGGAGCGCGCCCAAGGCAACTTCAATCGCACTCCACGTGGCGGAGGGCGTGGGCCCATGGCCTTCGGCAATAAGCGTGGCCCGTCACTCAACGGCAACGGAAGGAGCTTTCGTGGCTCATGCTTACGTTGTGGGCAGCCTGGCCACATGGTAAATGCTTGCCCCGACAACGGGGGCGGAGCCCAAGGACCCGCATCGGTGGTGTAAATTCCCGAGAGGGCAATCACCCGGTGGCGAGGGGCTTGAATGAGGGTATTTTGATGGCACTAGGGAGTGCAAAGACCGCTGGCCTATCCCATAGGGGATGCTAGGAAGGCCGCGGGCCAACCCCAAGGCATGGGGTGTAGGACTAGGAGTCCTCGGTGAGCATGTAATTGGAAATAATGCTTGTATGCTCTTATGGAAATAGTGGAAAGGTCTAACGGGCTAAGTTTGTGGACCTAAAAAAAAAAAAAGGTTGGGAGCATGGCTCTTAATGCATGCAAGGCCAGAAAGCAAGGGGCAGCCATATGGCATGGAGGCCTATACGAGAAACGAGAGAGAGAGAGAGAGAGAGAGAGAGAGAGAGAGAGAGAGAGAGAGAAAGAAGAAGAAGAAGAAGAAGAAGGAGAAGAAGAAGAAGAAGAAGAAGAAGAAGAAGAAGAAGAAGAAGAAGAAGAAGAAGAAGAAGAAGAAGAAGAAGAAGAAGAAGAAGAAGAAGAAGAAGAAGAAGAAGAAAGAAGAAGAAGAAGAAGAAAGAAGAAGAAGAAGAAGAAGAAGAAGAAGAAGAAGAGGAGGAGCAAGCGGCACGATGGTCGGATAATGTGAGCCCATGAGAAGGCCAAGGAATCATTTGTAAAGGAAAAGGAAAAGCGAAGATGCGGGACTCGGAGTCCCATGATGCCAAGAGTCCGCGCTACGAAGTATGGCCTAGCACGACAAGATTTATCATGAGTTATGTGAAAAAAAAAAAAACAAAAACAAAAACAAGAGGCGACGAAAGTCGTCGTAGGGTTGCGAAGCTTTTTCTTGAGGGGATTACTAGTGGGGAGTGTGAAATTGGAAAAACAACTACCAAAATAAGTTTTTGGGATTCGAAGTGATATCCGAGAGATTCGAGCCATCGACCTTTCAGATTCGAACCTATAATCTTTCTATTCAATCGACTGCGCTTTGTGCCCTATTCTAGCGTTATATTAACTGCAACGAAGTTTGCATTCACTAGGGTTTCGTGTCTTCTCTTTTTTCTCGCTGCTTCCTCTTGCTCGCTTACTCTCCCCAGCAGCAGACGCTAGTTCTTGCTTGTCTTCTCTCCTAGACACACTGGTATGTCCGTTTTTTTCCTATATTGCATCTTCGTCAACTCAAGTATATAGTTCTCGCGACATAGTTTCCTTCAAATTCGTTTTCTAGTTATGCCACTTTCTGTTTTTCTGGTCGTTATTTCGTTTTCTCAACTTTGATTTCCACCTCATTGCTCAGTAACGTAGCCGTTTTCCTTATTCCTTTCTCTTCCGTTTGTATTCGTCGTAGTTTTCGTGCATACTCTACTTTCTACATTTTCACCTCCATTCGCTAACGTTGCCTTGATAGCTAGATTGATTTAAACCATTTCGACCCGAGCAGCATGTCGTTCTCTCTCGCTCTCTCTCTCTCTCTTTCGTTCTATCGCTCTCGTTCTCTCTTTCTTTCATTCTTGTTCTGTCTTCTCGTTCTCTCCCCCCCCCCATCTCTCTCTCTCTCTCTCTCTCTCTCTCTCTCTCTCTCTCTCTCTCTCTCTCTCTCTCTCTCTCTCTCTCTCTCTCTCTCTCTCTAATGGTCCTTGTATTGACATGGCATCCAGGTACATGCATGCAAGGTACAGTATAGAGGCAAAGGTAACAACGAAAGCAAATCCTACCCTACCCCCCCTCCCCCCCCCCCCCCCCCCCCCTCTACAGTTCCAGGAGGGGCTCTATCACAGCAAAACAGTCCCCTAGGTTCAACTCCTGCCCTATACCGCCCACAGGCGGGTTCTCGGCTGCCGCTGCCTCCCCCAACTTGATTAGGAGGCCTACAGATTGGGCCCTCTGAAGGGCCACCGACCATCTCTGTCGGAATTGATGCAGAAACTTGGCGGCATAGTAGGATTTTGAGTCGGCGTTGAAGTGGCGCCGAGCCGCAGTATCTGCAAGAAGCTTGAGGAACACGGGCACCTCAGCGCATGGGCAACCATAGGTGTCTACCGCCAGTGGGAAGAAGCCGACCGTCTCTGGGCGGTTGGCGTAGTGTTTGATCTTCTTATCCGCTTGCTCTCGTGTTTGATCTGTCATCGTGAAGTCGGCCGTCTGCTCTTCGATGGGGCTGTGAACGGCCGACTCCCGATGAATAATAAAACCAGCATCCTGCGCCATGCTAATGCAGGCGTCCCGCAGCTCATTGTGAGTGTTGATGCGGTGCTTGCCAGTGCCGCAGCGAAGGAGGTGATTCGGGAGGCATGGGTCACTGATAGTTGTGTGGTCAGCACAGTCACATTTCTTCGGCGTTGAGAATGGCAGGGCCAGCCGGAAACGCACCGCGTTGGCGAAGTGCACTGGCCCGATACGCCGTGTTGGTGCGATGGGGATGGCCGTGAGCCAGTCGCCCGTGCCATAACCCGTGAGAGAGAACATCCGCTGTGTATGGCCCGAGAGCGGATTCAGCTTCATGCGTCGGGTCGCTGCTACCTGCACGGCATATCTACTCCCATGAACCTTGAGGCCGAGTACATGCTGAAGCCTCACATCGGACCGTTCGAGCCGCTCCTTCTCCAGCAATTCCCGAGCGTCAAGAGGCAGCGCCGCCTCGCACTCCGCTAGCCACCCGTGTAGCGGCGTGTCGCTGTCCCGCGGCAGTAGCATGTGTAGCAGCGCCCGTGCCAAGGCATTCTCGGGTCCCAGCTCGAGGGTGGACAGAAAACAGGCGGCCTGAGTGAAGCTAGCCGCGAATCCGTATACCCCTTCAACTAGGGGATCAGTGATGCCTATTCCACCAAGCGAGGGCGGCAGCGATGCCTGGTCCCATACGCGCTCTTGCTCGGCCCTACACGTAGGGACGCGTATGTCGCATGAGGTCAGCAGAGCGATGAGGAGGTCTTTCCCCCACTGGCTCCAACGTTCACAAGGCAACAGGTGTAGCGGCGTCGTCCTAATAAGGTAGGCGACCCGCCTCGAGATACAGCGTGTGATGAGGAGAGCGGCGACCTGCGGATCAGCGCGCTCGATGAGTGAGAGAGGCCTCGCCATCTCATCGAGCTGGTCCGCCAGGAATTTAGCTGCGCCGCTGTCGGGTCCCAGGAAGCTTCCCAGGAGGCGCACACCTTCTCCCAAGAAAGGTACCCCTGGTGGAAGGAGTGCGGGGTCTGCTGGATTAGCACTCCAGGCCGCACACTTTTGGGGATTGTGCTTCAGGCCCAGGTGCGCTAATTTGTCGGTGAAGAACGTGAAGGCTGCTACAGTATCCGACGCATCACCCAGAAACGTGATGTCGTCCGCATACGCCAAACAAAGCACCTCAGGATGTGCTTCAGCAGTTTCGCGGAGGGTGGCGTGTATCCCTGCAGCGAACAGGAGCGGGCCAAGTGGGTCGCCTTGGCACACCCCCCATTCGCTGCTCAGCGGGTCCGAGTTGAAGTTGGTGTCGAGAAGTAGTTGCGACGGGTTACCATACGTTAATTTAACTAGTGGCAGCAGCGGCGAAAGGGTGGGGTCGTGTAACGCGGAGGCGATGGCGTTTCGCGATATGCTGTTGAATGCGTTCGAAATGTCAGCCTGAAGGACCAGGCTGCTCGGGCGGGCGTCCATGTGGGCCCTGGCTGCGTGGATTACTGCTTCGGCGCCACCTGGCACTGCCACCCCGTACTGTAGGGGTAGAAAGAATGAACGTGCTGCGTCCCCCATGGCAGCCAGCGCGGCTTTGGCTGTGAGTCGTGTCAGGCACTCTCCAATCGCTATTGGCCGAGCCCCCCCTCCCGGCTTGGCCAAGGCAATGAGGCGTGAGGCTGTTAAAAGTTTCGCCACCGAGCCTGGCAGGTTTCCTCCCAGGATGGTGTTGACCAAGGCGTGCAGATGGGTGCTGACCAGTGCGTTCGTAATCGCCGCGTCGCGCAGATGCTCAAATGTCATTCCTGACGGTCCGGCTCCCACCCCGTTTTCGCACCGCCCCAACAATTTTGCGAAATCGGGATGGGCGATTGACAGTTTGGCCCCATGGTGTTCGGGCCAGGTCACTACCCCGTGTACAGCAGGGGGGTGTTTTTGGCGCAATTCCTCCAAGATATCTGGGCCAGGAGTGCAGACGGGCGTTGACTCGAGGGCCAGCACGGCTCGGCGCAGACTGCCACGTTTCGCCAACCCCTCTGCCCGATTGATGACCCCAGTCGCGTCAGGCTGGTGCCGAGGCGGAGGTGGCGTGTTGACGGCGTCCACCGCTTGCCTGTACAACTGCTCCCATTCGCCACGTTGGAAGGCCCGCAGTCGAGCCTTGACCCCATGCCAATCCGGTCGCTGCGGCGAGGTTTGACGAAGTGTCAAACGCGGGAGAAACAGCAGCAGGCGCCAACCTGACTCTGACTCGGGGTGTCGCGACAGGTGGAGTAACGGAGTCAGCATCGCAACTGCGAAAAGCTGGCACAGATTTGGCGGTAAGCGCCTCGACAGCGAAGGCTGACGACTGTCGCTCAGGGCCGCAACATCCCAGTTCGCGATGGCAGCGAATAATTCCGGCTGCTCTGCAAGCTCGTCAGCCGAATAATAGCGGGGAATTGGCCCCGACGGTCGCGTCGCGGCATTGCCCAGGGCGATCCGATTTCGTCTGGCGCGTCCCGATGTGGCTGGTTTGTTCGAAGTTGGAATCTCGCCCGTCCGTTCGGCATCCAACGGACCAGGGGCCTCATGCTGCTGGTCCACCCCTGATGCTACCTCCGCTGTTACTCTCCCAGCAGTCCTCCTCCCAGCAGGTTCTCTCATAGCTCCCGCGTCCTCCTGCTCCTCGTCCTCACTTGATGGGAGAGCTTCCTCCCTATAAGAGGGGTCTCCCAATTCGTCCTCTGCATGAGTTGTCTCCATAGTGGTTAAAGCCCTGCGTGCCTCTGCCTGGTACGCGTTCTCTGGTCCTCCGCCCATCCCGCTGACTGCCTGCCCCCCAGGCCCGCGACGCCCTCTCCCTCGAGATGGTGATTGCCGGCGCTCCTGAGCCGTCGCCAGTGCGCGCTGCCGCTTGGTCGGCAAAGACCGCCACGCCCCAGTCTGCCCCCGGAATGGCGACCATTCCGAAGAACCTCCCGGTTCAGATGCCCGCGACAGCAACCTCTGAAAAGATTCCTCCCCCCGTACGCGCACATCACTCCGCTGTGGCGGAGTCTGGCCCGCCGGCGCAGATTCCTGCTCCGCCCGTTCCTGCCGATCCTGCGCCTCCGGCTCCTCTCGGCGCGCCTCAGGCGCCTGCTCCCGCTGTGACTGCAGCTGGCCTCCCTGCACCCGGCGTGCCCGCTGTGGTGCTCCCAGGTGTCCCCGTCGTAACTGCTCCGGCCTCCGCGATGTCCCCGCAGGCGGCGTCCGCCACCACTGGCGGCCCGGCCCCGACTGCGTCGCCTGCGGTGGAGGTTCAGCCCGTTCCTGTTGCGCTGAACCCTCCGGCTGGCCAGCCCTCACGTCCCCCGTCACCGGACCGCCGCCAGTCTCGCCCACACTCCCCCGCTCCCCAGCAAGAGCGAGCGACGTCTCGGCGCCGGCGCAATTCCCCTCGGCGCTATCCTCAGCAAGGCCAGTGGCCTGCTCACCGCGGTGGTCGTGGTGGGAGGTGGGG